GCTCCGCGGCGCCCGCAGGCGCGGGAAGGTTCCCACTCGGCCGGCGCCGGGCCGGGCACCGAGGCGGCCGCCATCTTGGGGGAGTGGACGGGGCGGGCGGGACGGGCCTGCGGAGAGAGAAGGGCGCACCTCCTCCGCCCCGAGGTCCCTCCTCCGCGTGGGAAACGAGTCTTTTTCTGGTTTCGTTACAAGTCCCTGGGAGCGGCGATGGCTCTAGTTCATCTTGGTAACCTGAGCTCCTAGTACGGGGTCTGGTGTTAGTGCGTATGTGGTGAGTGAATGAATGAATGAACGAATGATGGGTGGAAGGACCAACCTTCATTTCCCAAGCCTGTGCTCCCTCCTTTGTCTCTCCGATACCTTCCTCAGGCTGGAGATGACTCTGGAAAGGGAGGGCAGCAGTTGCCTGCCCCTTGTTCTCTGTAATGCGGACGTGCTCAAGCTCCAAACCTCAAACTTTTAACATTCGGTACGCACACCACCTTTACTGCCCGACTACCGCCGTTTTTTGGTCTGTCTGTTAGGAAAAACATGCATACATTTAGAACTTGAGTGCGTTTTTATAATATAGATAATAAGAATTTTATTAGGGTCAGTTAAGCATTGCTAAGTAGTTCTTCCTGGATCTAAAAATAGTATACAGCTGTTTTCAGCAGTGTGTTATTGGGCTCCTATTTCATTCCTGAGTGAGTTCAAAGCATAGGTGATAATATGCTACGCAGCTGCACGTGATACTGAGCGCCTGCTGTATCCACAGGCTCCTCTGAGCAGGTGGCCAAAAAGTTTCCTTATACTTAGGTCCCACGTGACTCAGCCAAAGGCTACCCAGAGGCCTGTGAGGTGACCTGGCAGTGTAGCTTCGCATTCTGGACTGAATTTGACTGACTGAACCAATAAGCCTCTCCCAGAAAGAGGGATGAGTGTGGAACAGACAGGGACATGGTCAGAGCAGCACAGGAGCCGGGAGGCCCACGTAGGGAAGCTAGGAAGCAGAACAGAGGCCTTCTGCGGTGAAGTTCTCCAGGGGTGAGAGGAGAAGCCCAGGCAGTGCGGCAGTGTCATGGAGTCGCCGTAATAGTGGAGTAGTGGAATTGGGAGCTAAGCATGCTTGTGTCTGCAGTGGCATCCTATTTGGCCTTGGACCTGACAGTTGTTTGCTTTTTTAAAACAATGCTGTCTTTCTGAAGCCTGGTTCCTGTTCTTATTTTCTTGTTGATTCCTAGAATTAAATCCCTAGTAACTGAGGTAATCTGGAAGTATTTCTGCTTTAATAAGCTGTTTCTTTTCAAGCTTTTTTGCAAGTTACAGAAACACTCAAGGTAACAAGCAAAAATGGGGGAGGAGGTGTCCTTTGTTATAAAGATAGGGAGTAGTTCCTGAAACTCCAGGACTGGAATGTAAATGGGCTGTGCGAGGGTCTGCTGGATCCAGGAAGACAGAATCCAGACAGCCAGCTTCTCCCTGAGTATCAAGTACATTCTTCTCTCTTTGACCTCTGTGAAGGGTGATCTGTGCTGTACTCCTGGCCTAATAGGCCATGGCCTTCTTGGTGGATAAAAATACGTTAACCTACAAAAGCAGAAACTGCCTGGCCAGAGAAGTCATCTACCTGGCCTAGGAACCATTTGGAAAATTACTGAACTATACAAAACTAGATTTTTTTTTCCAATGGCCATTCAAGCTCACTCTGGGAACTTTCCTGTCCCCACTTCCTGCAATCTCAAGACTTAGTAGAAATAAAAATAACTTCTTTTGAAAAATGACTGATGGATCCCTGACTTAGGATGGTTATAACTGCAGAAATTCTTTAAACCCAAATTTGCTATTTTCCGGAGGTATGCCGGTGTTGAATGTTTTGTAATACTTTCAGCGTCAATGACAAAGACTTACCTCAGTTGGTGACTTTGTTTTCCTGCTTTGTAGCAATATTATATTATTATGCTCCATTATTCTAAGTCTTGGGTCAGGGCAGACCCTGAGCAAAATTGAGAAGTATGTGAAATTTGTTTTTCATGTGTCCCAGCGCTCCCTCACCAACCCCTTCCCCATTTAGGACCCTTTCCAAAGAAATGAAATATTCCATAGTAACATTTCTGACACTGCAATAGGCAGTGTTGGAGAAATTGTGGATATTTGGGCCTGTTTGTAAGGTTAGCTCTCACGTGGATAATCTGTTAAAAAAGGAGATCATCCCCTTCCCAAAATAAAGCAAAGCCATGAATTTTAATACCCATTCCTCAGCTCTGGATGGGAGGCTGATGCCCTATGAAGCCATTTAGGGAATGACTTTATATCCGATCCCTAAGTCACCTAGGGATTACTGAGAATGAAAATCAAAGTTCTTTGAATTCTAGTTTTATCAACTGCTAAGCTCTCTTAGTTTTTGTAATCTAGTCCTTTTATCAAGTTATTTCTAAAATGTTATGCTTAGCAGAGTAAAGAAGTAATTTTTACCCAGAGTGAGGAAAATAGTAAAATATTTTGGAGCTTTGGGACTTGAAAATAAACTTTGGAGTTAAAAATGGATTCTCAGTGATATTCTGTCAGAAGTATTATTTTTAGAATATAAAGTTACACAGTCATATAAAATTTTATTTCATATTTATTTGTTTTTCCCCACTTATTACAATGTCCCATCAAAACAATACTAATACCCCCCCCACTTTAAGTAAACCAATTTTACAGAAATGTAAAGTCTAGTGTTAATATATATTCCCTTTTCAAGTCACATTTTAAGCAAAAGTTCACAATTACACAAGGCATTTAAAGAGAGCTCAAAGCTACCAAAAGCACACCCCCAAATCAAGTTTTAGAAAGTACAGATTTAACTATCAATAGTGCCAAACATATGCTTTAATTTACCCCAAGAAAACATTGTCTGAAACCACAGATCTAAATCTGACACGTCTATTGACAACAGTTGTTTGAAAGAACAATTGTTAACAAGTTTATAGTGTTAGCAAGTAGGAGCAGAGGATAGAAAATCAGAACCTTCTACCTGATTTGTAAGGGTAGAAATTAATTAGGTCATACTCTTACAGGACTTAGGCACACATCGGGCTTAAGGAAGTCAAGCAGGAAGAAGATCAGATAACAACTGCACACCTAGGTGTTAGGGATTTCACGTAGTACTTCTACATCTTTTAGAAAGAGGGCACTGCTCACCAGAAAGAAAGGCGTTTCTTTAAAGGAAGAATTTCAGACAATGGCAGGCTCCCGCAGATTTTTTGAAAGGGGTCCTTCTTTGGAACCCTCAAATGACACCATCGTGGCCACTTACTCTGCCTGTGAAGAAGGCAACTTCTTCCCAATATTTGTGAAAGATAACTTTGCCCCGTTATCAATCAGCAGTAGTTACAAATAGAACTATCTTAAGTCGGTAAGCGCTGACCTAGTAAGGCAAGCACCCTGCCCCAGATCCCTACTCAGTACTTTATACGCGCTAACCCCAAAACATTTTCTTTGCAACTGGACAGCTTTAGTTCTAATGAATGGAATAGAGATTAACAGAAAAGAGGTGTTTTACTTCTCTTTGATCCCCTTTCATATGCAAAGTATAATCTCTAGATTTACACCACATAATAAACACACAGTTTTATGCAAATCACAGGAGATATGAGAAATTAGAAGCGTCATAGATGTGATGGAAACAAATTAGATTTTTAAGTGTCATCTTGTTTATTTCACCTTCCTTCCTCTTCCACCTCCCTTAGGACCCACTGATGTATACAGATGTGTCTTTCTATACCTAGTGGGGCTTCATTTTATTTAGAAAGCCCAATAACATTCATGTTTGTACACCGAAGAAAATCATGGTTTGTCTTTTACTTGTAAAGATCCTCCCCTCCTCAGATTTCAGCACAGTTCATAAACAGCAAAACTCTCAACACCATATACCCACATATAGCTCAGAGCCGAATACACACGCTGGGAGGAAAAATACCATTTTTAATTGAAAAGCTAGACTCTGTTCTCTTCCTTCTTCACACTACACCCAGTGAACAAGGTCACACTAATTTCAGACACCTGAGTGCTCGCGGCACCCGGGACCCTTCCCGTCACAGCCAGGTTGTCAAGAGGGGTGTCAGCAGCAGGAGGGTCAGGCAGCCCTGCCTTGCAACAGAATAACTGAGCTTTAAAATGCTGCTGGAAGGTTTTGCTCAGCCAGTAAAGAGCAAAGGGGTTTACACAAGAATTGCTGAAAGCCAGAACCCGAGAGAGAATGGTGACAATAAGATGAATGGCAGAAGGGTCCACATAGGTTTGATAAGTGAATGAGCGGTAGAGATACAGGAGGTGATTTGGCAACCAGCAGAGAGCAAACAGAGCCACCAGCACCAACACCGTTCTGGCAATTCGCCTCCGGGATTCAATCTGTAGGGGGAAGAAAAATGGCAAAAACAACAACCCCCCAAACAAACAAACAAACAAAACAAACAAACACAAACAAAAATATTTAGCTGGCATTGATTTTTAAAAGCCATTCTCTAGATTTACATAGAAATTTACAGTTAACACGCTGGTGTGCCTATGAACATGTCTGTGAGATTACTGGCTGGCACG